CCCCGCCCGGATCTCATGGACAAGTGGGATGCTGCACTAAAATGTAAATTGAAAATCGCTCGAAACTTCAAATTAATCGGATCCGATGACCCGCATTAGCCGGACAGATGGACAAACGGACATTTTGCACCCTTCGAGTGCCACCCTCGTTCAAATGTGACCCGTAACGCAGAAACCCATTTAAATTAAAATTAATATTTGCCGGCCATCGAGCGGCTTGTTCTCTCGCCTCTTGCCTCTCGTCCGGCACTTGGAGTCCATATAGGAAATCAGGGACTGCATTGAGAACGCGAAACAGCCAACCGCACCCCCCTTCCTCCTCCCGCCCTTATTCCTTCCTCCCTTACCTCGTATTCCGTAGGACGCGCAATTCACCCTTTCATAAAAAAAAAAAAATATTCAGCCGATGTATCATATTCCCAACGAAACAGCCGCTGACGCTTTACATGGTGACACTGCCGATAAATGAAGTCTGCTCCACCGTAACTAAGTCCATTCTCAACTCCGTGGTTTCAGACGCAGATACTCTCACGCGCGCCACGACCCACGGTCCTTCCCCTCTATCGTCCCCGACTCTTCTGCCTCCGTGGTGAGATTTCCCTAGTAGCTCATGACATGCGATCCTACTGAAAGACCTCCCACCTCTTTCTCATTCTCGCAGCCTCCCCACATGGTCCATGCACGAACCCTGTATGGTGCCCAGTGCTCCTACCACGTACCGGAGCAGTCGACGTTCGTTTGGAGTTACGCACGAGTACCTGTAGTCAACGTACTCGTGTTTGTTATGCTGCACGCAGGGTGGCAGAAGAGAGAGAGAGAGAGAGAGAGAGAGAAAGAGAGAGAGAGAGCCAGTCGGATCGCTGAACTCGCAATCTAATTTTCATCGGCATTTAATCTTTGTGTACCAGGTTCCTCGCGTCGGCACGCGCCTGAGCTTTTCAAAGCTCGCCTCACACCGAATTTCGAAAGCTGGTTCTCGACATTGCAATTATTTCCAGCGTGTTTATTATTTACCCTCGGTAAAACTCTGGCGGTACCGTTCGCGCGACCAACCCCCACCCGAGGCGTCCCTCGCACCCTGGAGGCGTCGCGCCCGACGCCATCGACGCTTCTATGTCACGTTCAGCCGTCGACTGCGTCGCGACAGTTTCGAAAGCTCAAGCTATTCTAGGCTTCCGTGAGGAATTTTCGTCTGATAATGAACGCTCGGGTCAGGGTATAGGGAAAACGGAAGTCTCGACCAGGTCGATGCTTCCGGTCATTATATCCAGGTTACGCAGCGCAGAGGTTTTTTTTCCCCTTTTCGTTTTTCTTTGTCCTTCTCATCCTTCCGTTTCTTTATTTTTTATTTATTTTTTTTTTCTCGGCTCCAATTCCCTAAACACGTCCATGCTCCGAAAAATTACAGCTGTGTAAATTGAACTGGTAGCCTTTCTTATTTTTTTTTTTTTTTTGGTCTCTGATAAATATCTCATGCGAATAGAACATACTCCCAGGAATTCTGCTTCTCAAAAGATGCTTAATAAACTGCACGAGGTTCAGGACAGGATTCTAATTTCCTCATATAAGTGCTGCTATTCGTACGCGTTCTCCACTCGGTAGAATTTTCTCAAGCACTTGGCCTTTTAATTCTTTCGAGTGTAGTTGCCTATTCGTACATGAATAACCTAGTCGGACAGTTTCGCGGTACGCAGAATAATGTTTGGTGGTTATCGTCGTTGCATTATTCCGCGAGGGAACCACCGAGCGGAAGAAGCCGCAGGAAACGAGTCGAGGCGGATCGGAAGTCGTGCAGGAGTAAAATAAAAAAAAAAAGAAGTAATAAAAATAGGTAAAAGAGCCTAGCCGGAGTAAAAATTCACAAACCGTATAGCCTATATACAGAAGCAACGTGACTGTAGTTAACGGCATAACGTGTACAGTGGCGATAACGGGGACTCGTGAGGACCGATTTTGAAAATTAATTTTATTGCCAGGGTTGCCACTGTTGCCAGTATATCCAGCGAGACCCCCTTAACCCCCCTGTTCCTCACTACCTGCTACCGGTTGACCCATTAACTATCCGTCGGAGCCAATCCTTTTTATCGGTGCCTTTTTAATTCGACCATAAATTATCATTGGCCCGGGACGGCAGGTGCGGCTGATGCGGCTGATGCGACGTTATAAATAAATACTCTATATTTCATATTTATGGATAAATTGCCCTGGCGCCGTGATACAAAAAATTCCACCAGCATTCACTCTTCACCCTACGTAGACCATATATCCACCCTATTATTTCTCTACACCTACAAACAAGTCCCGTCCCTCCGTAAAATCCTGCTTATCAAATGATTAGAGGCACTTGGTCTTCCGAGCTTAAGGGCTGAAACTTTCGAAACATATCCGATCGAAAGGCAGAATAAAATTCCGATATTCAAAATTATCGTTTAGCCCGAGGCTGCGATATATTGCACCACGTGGCTGCCGTCCCAAACCTCTTTTTTTCAGACCAATGATAAAGGGACTCGGAGTTGGGCGAAAGGATCCTTCATAAAAATTACCACCTAACGGGTGGCCCCCTTTGCCAAGGATCACCGGAACTCATCGATACGGCTTCGTTTTCTGTTCGCAGATCCGCCGAGGATCGTCGTCAGGCCGCAGTCCCAGCAAGTCAAGAACGGCGGAGTGGCCAGTTTCTACTGCAGCGCCCAAGGATCACCGACGCCCCAGATACATTGGCGTAAAAATGGAAGAAAAGTTTCACGTAAGTCTACCGTAACCCTACCATTTTTCTCTATCTCGTATTCATTCCCATATCCTCCTGGACCATCTCGTCGAGCATGGTCCCCGTGTCCCCGTCCATTACATCGAATGGTCTGACTGTATACCGTGATGGCTAATTAAATTTTCATTTCAGCATCGCAAACGCGCTACCTCATGCAAACCTACAGCGATGGCGCCTTGCTGAGAATCGAACCAGTGAGAATCGGAAGGGACGACACGGTCTACGAATGCCTTGCTGAAAATGGGGTCGGGGATGCAGTTTCCGCCCAGGCCCAGCTCACAGTCTACAGCAGTGAGTCGCACGTCAAATTTATGTTAAAAATCCCAGATTTTTCTTGACGAATACCAATTTTCAGCAAGTGATAAAAGAATAGGGAGACCATATCGGAAACGGCACGTTCACACGTGTACCTCTACGTGTATCTAAATGAGAACCTTGAGGATGCTCGGTATTGTTTAGCCTTTAGCAGCCGAGGGTGTCCTTAAACGGTCGTTCCGAGGATCGCTTATTGTCGGCGAAAGTTCCCGAGACTACCCGAAGCCTGGAAAATTTCGAGGAAATTAAACGGCGCCCCCCCCCCCCCCTTTTCATTTTTACGGATAACAGCTCCAAGGGGGTTGCACGTGGAGGGTGGTTAAATCTCGAGGGGCCAAGCGAACCAGTCGAGAGTAAAGGGGATAGATGGCTGCCGGTGGCTAATGGCGCCCAACCGGAAGCGGTTTAATGGCCAAAGGGAAGAGTGCATTCCCGAGATGGTCCAGAGCCGCGAAGGAAACCCTTTGGGACGTTTCGCGAGGAAACGTTTAATCCTGGGATGTTCTTTTAAAGGCTTCGGGCTTTAATCGCGTTTAAACGTTACTCCCGTGGCATTCGTTAACCTGGTCCAGATCATTGTCATGGAGAGATCAGAGGAGTCGACCAGGAACCTTAAAGACCCGTGGACCGTCTTTCATTATATCCAAACGATTTCTCATAGCCGGTCCCTCCCGAAATTTCTCTTTCTTCCAGCATCCACGACCAGCGCTCTCTTCAGCCAGTTAATAGTTTTCCTATTTACTTTCGGTCCGGCAAACGCGAACTTTTGTTTACGCGGCCTTACCCCTCTTCGGACTTTCCCATGATGGGACTTTCTCTCGATTTTTCAAAGTTTCCCAGACTCTCAGCTTTACGATCCCAGAAAACTCGAACTAAACTTCGATCGTAAAATCTTCGGGGCAAAATGGTACCGCGAGTATGTTTCCCTTTTTTTTTTTTACTACTCTTAAGCACAATCCCCACGGATCCTGCAGTAGTGGTCCTATGCAATCGTCCCGGAAATAAAAAAATCCAAAGGTACAGTGACAGACTATAAAAAAGTTGAAAGATTACTCTATAGACAGACTTTGAAAATGATCCCTATTAATTTCTGAAAAAGCGAGATACGATAGGAGTAGGTATGTATAGGGTGACTCTCTCTCTGTTTTCTCCCAATATTTATATCCCTCTCGCACGTTGCTCGCGGTACTCGTGAATCCACGGGTTTTCGCGACGTAATTAATTCCCACGCGAAAATTAACATCCGCAAATAAATTCGCGAGATCGACGGGATTAAAGGATCTTGTTTTAATCGAACGAGTGCGAACGCGAACACTGCCGCAGTGTCAACGCTTCGTTGCATTGCTGATGCTGGGGCTCGTACGTGTATACACGTGGTTATAACCATATACCGTGATTATAACCACGGTATGCTATGGTTGCTAACGTTATCTCCCCAGGCTCTTTGAACCCCTCGCAGCATCCCAATCAACAGACGAATCCCATACGAATGAAATATCACGCGATCGCCTATCGCCTGTTTACAGACCCTCCCGTTCTCTCTGGACCAATCTGGACGATCGTCTCGAAATTCAACTATTACTTAACGCCGTCTCTTTCGCCGCGTAATAAATCACCCTCGTCCCCCCGGCCCCTCGATTTTTCCGTGATTTCGCTGTGTTTGTTATAAAGTTGATTCCCGGCCAGGTGAGCGTTCCCACAGGTCTAATAATCCGTCGCGACGCCCTCCACGAGAAGATATAGCTCCCGGCCGAGAGATTAATTTTCTAGTTCAGGACAGATTTAAAAATTAAAAGTCAGCATCCGCGGGGGGGGGGGGCCAAATTTAATAAAAAATAATTTTCCTTCATCAGCTCATTTACACTCTCTCACTCTTCCTCTCCGTCGTTCAAGGGATTGAATCTCGAAAAAAAATTAGTCACCCGGTACATTCTCGAAAGAAGGTCAAGTTTTGGAAACGATCGTCAGGTATAAGCACGGAAAAAAATATTCGCTCCTCGGTTGACGAACGTGCCCGACCCTGTGCGCGGACACGATAATTAATTTAGCCGCTCAAAAATATTAGGCTGTAGCTTCGCCATGCGCGGCATCGAATCTCCTGTGGGACCGATACGTTTTTCGAACTGGATGCTTCGCAGACTCTCTCTCTCTCTCTCTCTCTATCTCTCTATCTCTCCACCTGCCAGTTTGTCTGTCTATCCGCTGATTGTGACAGCTCTCACAATCAGTCTGGTCCCTTCTCTGCGACGATACTTTTTTTTTTATTTTTATTTTTATTTTTTATCATTACTACGCAGCTCGGTCCCACGAGGCCTTTTTGGTACGGCATCATTTTCCCAATTGAAATTGAGCAGCTCCCGTTTCGTCCTCCTCCCAACCCATTCGGATACCGCAAGCAGCGCGTAACTCAATAAATGGCGTCACAAACGTATCAGCGCTGCTCGTAGCTGCTGCTGCGTACGAGATCACGTACGTTAAAAGAGGGTAACGCAACCTGTATGCGTAACGACGCGTGTAACGCGTGGCTCGCATTAAAATCGTGCTCGGCTAATGAGATTAATTGTTGTCGAACATTTATAATAACTCGCCAGAGAGATAGCCCCGCAAACTCGTACAAACGCAAGTAACGCTACAAGCCCTGCTAATTGTAATTGGTGGCCCACCACGGGGATAGCGTGTTTCGTTATGTCAAATTTTAATTACGCAGGGATAATTGCCAGCGATTTTTGTTATTCTCGTGGCTCTCGGTCACGCCGTTATTCCGGGTTAGACATCAGTGGATTGCGTCGAGTGGTGGGATGATCTTGACTTTTTTTTTTAGTTTCATCACGTATTTCTATCTTTGGTTAAATTTGCTTTTTTGTTTTTTAACCAAAATTTCATTGCCGTCTATTTTGGAAGTCCCGTAACACGATGCCTTTGCATTCTCGTTTGAAAGGCGAATAGAGCTGCACTGGATGGAGATGAAAATGGAAACGGAGGGTCGCTGGTCCCGAGGACTCTGAGGATGCTCCTGGTCTTCTCAATCCTTGTATACTGTCTATCCAAGTGTATCGGGGCTGTAGAGAAAAGCGTAGAAGAGGAGTGGTACACGTCTCTTGCTACCCTTATATATGTAATCAGAATAGGGGTAGTCGACGAAAGTGCCAAGAATTGTCCTGTGCTATTACGTGAACCGCGCCACTGACTGTCCTGGAATTTTCATGAAAGCTTCTACGTGCCTGTAAAAATCTGAAAACCATTCGGGTTACCTGGCAAGAGGGTAGGAAAGTACTAGGGGGTTGCGTCCTCCCACTCCCCTCCCTCCCTCGCTCGTCGTGAAAAGTTATCTTGTAACTTGGTGGAAAATCCTCCCCTTGTTATCGTACCGAGTTTATCCCGGCGTATTGTCCTTACCGCCACGCTAAACTCCCACCCATTATGGAATACTTTGCAGTAACGCGATTGCGAAATTTTAGCAAAACTGCCCGTTGCTCTCAATTCTCCTACACTTTTCTTGCTTCCATCAAATATCCACTTCTCAGGCACTTAGTAGGTCGCTGCTGTTACCTTTGCATCGCCTGCACTTTCCTTTCTCTGAAATAAGCCTTGTCTTCCTCCCCCCCCCCCTTTCCAACCATGATGCTTGAAGAAAATTAAAGAGAAAGCAAAGTACAGGACGGCACGCAGATGCCGCCATTTTTACCACCCACCCTCCCTCCACCCCCCTCACATTTTTTAAGCCGGTCTTCCGTAAAAAGAAACTTTCTTCTCGGTGCATTTAGTATGCATAATGCAACGACTTGGAAGGCAAGACCGGCTCTCGAATCCTCCATGGATGGCATCATCGGGCGTCGCGACGCTTCGTGACGCTTCGCGAGCGTAGGTAGTACGACGGGAATCGGATAGCGTTATTGGATTTGTCGTTACCGTTTACGAGTGGGATATTTCGCTTTGCGCACAATGGAGGACATTCGATCCTGGTAGAGGGTGGATTTTCCAAAGGGGTGACTATACCGAGGTGACGTCAGAGGGAGATAAGGGATAAGGCAGACCCGACGCTTACGAACGTATACAAATATCGATGCGTCGCGACGGCATAGTGTGACCCGGAATTCATCGCCACGTGACAGGGTGAGTCTTCCCCGCGAGTCCAGGACAGACACTAAACCAGGATCCCTTAGCAGTCGGCATTTAGAATCGAAGCCTCGCGTAAATGTTTAAAGGGACCCAGGTACCGCGAGGCCACCCTAAATTATGGGGATCTTCGGGTCCCGAGATTAAATTTCTATGAGGCCTAAGTGGTGCATTGCCGTGAGAAGATTCGGCAGACCCATTCGCGAGTGCCTTCGCTCGGTACAGTACTCCGCTCATCCCTTATTCTCTACCATAGTAGTTTGCCACCCCCTCTCCCACCTTCCCCTCGCACACCTGAGAACCATTATCTTATCCGCACTTATCACCGACCCCTATACCGTTTTCGGGCTCGCAACCACTTCTACGTTCCTACGGTGTCGCAAACAAGTAGGAAATTACCCCGAATGCCTCGCGACCTAATCTTAAAAATGGAACTGTGCCGTTTGATGGAATTCAACGAAATGGTCCAGGAATTTGGTAATCCTACCGGATACTGTTTCGTACGTCTGTACACTAGTGACTCGACGCCCTTTTGGCCTCCTGACCCTGTGGCTCCTACCCGACTTTATTGTTCCGACTAATTTCGAGCTCTCTGACGTTTAATGCGATCATAAGCCATCCGCCGTTATTACCCCGAAATATTTTATACTTTAGAAGGCGGTTTACAGAGGAAATGGCAAAACGTCGAAAGTTTCCAGCGAAAATTTCTCCCTTTAACCTGGTAAGCTTATCCGTCGTCCCTTTTTTTAATTCCCTGCAATACAACGCAATTTTGACATCGCCTCTGTGCCCTTGTACCTCGACGGCTTCTTGGTATCCTACGTACCATTGGAGTGGTTGCCAGAGAGCGAAGCTTTCGC